GGGCAACACACTCGTTAAATGGCCCTAAAATTGAATGCCAAAAACAATGGCTCAGTCCTAGACAAAAGCCACTTCCGACCCCCAAGTCTGGACTACATCCGTAGAAAGTGATGCTTTGCATTTGGTGGGATATCAAAGGAGTAATTCATTTCGAAATCCTCAATCCACAGCGAACTGTCAATGCAGAGATCGTTCGCTGGAACACCATCTTAATGGGAAATCGTATACGAATATGGAAGGTGTTAAAGAGGACATCGACATGTGTTTTGCTTCAAAGCCAAGTTATTTTTTTAATCAGGACATTAACAAATTGATTGCAAGATGGAAAGTATCATCGATAAGAATGGAGACTATTTCATTTAATAAATGTTTTGGTTGATATATAAGTTGTTCGGGTTTTTTCATCTAAAAAAGTTACATTAATTTCTTGACGATCTAATATTTGTATTACTAACCTCACTGTCTTATAAAAAAAGAAGAATAGACATGTGAAGGCATATTTGTCAAGGCTTGGAAAGAGAGTGCTCTCCAGTACTTCAGCATGTGTTCCAAAAACTCTTGCTTCATCTCCCAATGGAGATTTCTGAGGCTTAATTTAGAACAGTTCCTATGATCAAGAAACTCTCATCAAACCCAGACGGTTAAGTGTGGAGGAGACGCCACTAGTGAAAGTGTAACGCTAGGCATCTTCAGGTTGGGATGTGACGAGACCACATGGGGATTCTGTTTAGTGTACACTGATTTTCAATGTCCTGTGGAAGACATCTTCAGTCGTGATGTGAGGTGTAAGGTATACAAGCAGAAAGGAAGAAGATTACTGTTACCATTCTGAAAATGCTTGAAAGATACAATAGTTGAAAGCGTATGAGATGAATAGAAGCTGGCAGGTTAAATCCTCCCTAGTCAGGTATTTGCCAAGTGAATATGATTCACATCAACTTAATAAATAAGGAAAACATTGACTCGTGGAGGACGTAAACTAAACGTGAAATGCTTCCGTTATATATATCGACTTCTGATTTCAAATACATAATGAAATATATGAACCAAAACATTTCCAGTGTAGAAGGATTTCTATCGCTAATATAAGGTCAAAATACTTCTAATGCTTTAGCAGTTTTTTTTAGCAATATAGCACTTCTAATATTAGTTTATTGGAAATACAGGTGGATTATCTTGCAAGAGAGCAAAATCCTCTCCATATGTATAATGGTCTGACAACGCAGGGTATAGAATTACAGTGAAAGTTTAACTCATTCCAGGGGAAACCATGCCTAGTGGAAGAGAAAATGTTATGAATAACTAGCTATCAAATCTAACTAATAAACAACTTCAAGAAGATGGTAACAGGGGCTTTATTTGTCATACAGGAGGAAGGGGCCGGATAATCAAAGTGCAAAACTGTTAGCAAAGAAGCTTGTAACTTTAGTCTGTTAGAGGTACAGGAGGACTTGCTATACTGTCGCTAAGCCCAAATAGGACCGAATCAAGTACTGATACATTTTGTCGCTCTAAGGATTCTAAGGCAGGCGATTCTATGCATATGACATGATATAATGATTGGAGGACACGTTGGAGTGCCGCATATCATAGCTAGTTTATGGTCCCAGTTCTATTGGTCACCTTGTTATGATGATATTCATAGATGGCATTGATATTGCACTATGTGCGCTGTACAGAATTATAACTGAAAATGATAGGCTCTTTAAATAATTTAATTATTATGGATAGAACCAGACTTGTATTGGAAGCAGGAGATAATATCTCTGAACCAAGTGTTTCTAAGCATTCGTTAACAGATACTTCAGCATTGCGCGTGACTGATAAGTTAGCAGAACAATGCACATCACACCCTAGAGCTCCAGAAAAAAATACATAAGTTAGGAAGTGAACTTTAATTATTCACTTACTGCTGAGTAGTGTCACATAGGAGTTGTGAAGACTCATACTTCAGTATAATGTCCTCAGCGGGGGGTGGGGGTGGGGAGGTATGACTGAATTAACAATGCAAGACTGATGGGGATGATTACCTATCTTATACTGACATAAAAGGCAACTAAATAACAGTTTGATAAATGCTCCCCAAACTTGCTAACTTCATCCAGAAAGTTGTCCTCCCTATGGATTTAATATGTATTCCCCCCATTGACTGCATACATTCCTGAATGTTCACAGAAATGTGGAAGTGGTTGTAAACCACTACTACTAATGCTCATGGTTTGTACAATAACAAAAGGGGAAAGTTCTCATACAATGACGTTAGGAAGAAAAAGGTAAAGGGAAAAAAGATTTTCCATGTGAAGACTAAGTTTTACTTGGTATGTGCCAGCAGCGTGGTAGCCTCTCCTATCTGGTTAATTTTTTAACAAATCTCATGCTTTGGCAGCTTGATCCATCAAAATACAAGCTTCAGTGATCACGTGACAAATGGGTACATGTGAAGAGCATGTAGACAAGTTGCAACTGAAAACCTTTCATGAACTCTTGTGAACTGGCCGGACAAGAATGTAGAGAGAGAGATAGAGAAGAATCTTAAGATAGTGACGAGAACAATGTGTCCAATAGCTTTAATTCAGTTGATGTGAAGACAGTGACGAGAACAATGTGTCCAATAGCTTTAATCCAGTTGATGTGAAGACAGTGACGAGAACAATGTGTTCAATAGCTTTAATTAAATTGATGTGAAGATAGTGACGAGAACAATGTGTCCAATAGCTTTAATTCAGTTGATGTGAAGACAGTGACGAGAACAATGTGTCCAATAGCTTTAATTCAGTTGATGTGAAGACACTGCTGCAAGTACTTATCTGGATGTTCAAGGAAA